TATATATATAAAAAATTAATTAATTTTTTTTAAATCATGTCGATTTAATGTAAATTTTCTCCAAAAACAATAATCAACATTTTTATTTAGTCTTTCAAGTTAAAGAAAAAAATGTAGGAAAGCTGTTAATTCGTCCTGGTCTTCCTCCATTTCTCTGATGTTAAGAAGAAATTTTAAAATGTATTAACCTTTAATGAACCAGGCAAATCCCATTATCACAGATCTAATAATATAATAATAATAATAATAACAATAATGCAAGCTGTGTGTTTATTAGCAGGTGCGTTATGAACCATTTTAGTGCAGCTGTGTATTTTATTTGTTTTTAAATTAATCTAATGCTGAATAAAGCAAATTTTTCTGTGTTCCTCTCAGAAATACAGACACGTGGACAACATCATGTTTGAGAACCACACCATCGCCGATCGCTTCCTGGACTTCTGGAGGAAGACGGGCAGTCAGAGGGTGGGTTACCTGTACGGCAGGTACACCGAGCACAAAGACATCCCTCTGGGCATCAGAGCCGAGGTGGCTGCCATCTACGAGCCGCCGCAGGTGAGACGTCTCACGGAGCGCGCTCGTCTTCTCATGTGGACAGTTTGTAACTCGTTTCTCTGATCGTCTCCGTGGGGTTTCAGAGCGCCACCCAGAACAGCCTGGAGCTGCTGGAGGATCCTGCAGCTGCAGCTGTAGATGACATCGCCGCCAAGCTGGGCCTCTGCAAGGTCGGCCATATTTCCTCCTGGGTGCTGTCGCGCATGCTGAGATTTTAAGTAGTTCACTCAGAGCTGACTATTTCACACAAGTATACACGGATTTAAATAGTTTCTTACATATTAAAGAGTGAATAATAATATGTAAAAACATCTCGGTTACAGGCTGCTCATCAACTATTAGCACAGATGCTAACTCGTCATTGCTCCTCAGAAAAGCTAACGCCATTAGCTTTGTGTTTATAACTGTAAATTTCTACACAAATCAAAAGTTGCGTCACGTTCTGATGAGTTCAGCCACCAACGGACGTCGTTCTGGGTTCAGTGCAGAAAAGACCTGAGAACCCACAGCTTCACCGCAACCTGATTTGTTTTTAACTAAACCTTAACAGAATCAAAACTCACACATACAAAAGCAGGAAGAACATTCATTAAAGAAGCAACGTGCTAAAGTAAATAAAAATAAAGAGGAAATAAGTCCTATTTCCAAAGGTTTCAGTAAAACAAACGTACTGAGTGCAGAATATAACCGAGGAAGACGGATAAACTGGACAAGGAGGACGCTGTGAGTTTACTACTGGATGTTTAGCAGCTAAAGACAAAAGCTGACCAGCCTTTTAGAACAATTCAGTCTGGAGTGGTTGATGAGTACAAGCAATATATATTAGATGGATTTTTATAATAGAGTACAAATCTGTCAGCAATAATCAGGCACCAAAGCTCATGCTCAATAATCCAGGTACAAATCCAACAATGTTCTCTCTGGTCATCTGGACAGTTTCTTTCTTGCTGAGACGTTTTGTCCTTCATCCAAAGGACTTCTTCATCTGACAGTTATTTATTCGTGTCTTTTTTTCTGTTAACCCGTCAGCCACTGTCAGTTTTTTGTAACCAGTAATCGTTGTGTACTTATATGAAAACCTCTTAGAGTTTTTCAGTCGTACATGTTTGATGCTTCCTTGTGTTGACTAGTTTTGTTTTGCAGGTGGGGTGGATCTTCACTGACCTGCTGTCCGAGGATACGAGGATAGGTACAGTCCACTACACGAGAAACAAGGTGAGGACTCCATCTTTGTTTTAAAACTCTGGTTTTATTTCCTGTTAACGAGACTGTTCTGGTCCATCTGTCAGGACTCTCACTACCTGAGCGCAGAGGAGTGCATCACAGCCGGGTACTTCCAGAACCAGCACTCAAACCCCTGCAGGCTCTCGCGAGACGGATACTTCGGATCCAAGTTTGTGACCGTTGTTGCAACAGGTACTTTTTACTCCCTGTTTGAACTGAGGACAAAATGGTTCTGTTTAATGAGGCCAGAGGAGCGGCGGGTAACACAAACCAGTTTCTGAAATGGTTTTGGTTGAGTGGAGCCTCATCAGTTTGATTTGTGTGAATGAAGATCTGTGATCCATCGTGGTTTCACGTCTGCTGCCCACCAGGAAACATCCGTCTGCGTGGCTCGGCCTGCAATGCTGAGAAATGTCCTGTTTGTTCATTTAAGAAGTTCTGGTTGTAGTTTGTGGTTCCTGAAAGCTGCCCTGGCTTGAGGAAAAACAGTGAGAGTGTGTAAGCACACGTGCACATGTTGCACATTCTTTAAACGATCCTCCTCCCATCTCTTGAGTCTGGGTATGATACTTTTAATAACTGCACAGTATTTTGTTCTTGTGCTGTAAATATGTCTTTACTGTACACTCATAGTTTTCTGTTTTTATACTTCTACCTTTGTGTGACTGTGCGTTGATTGATTTGTCACTTTGCTGCTGAATGTCCCCACTGAGGGACATGAGCGGGTATTTCTGTTCTAAGACCCGGTTTGTGGGACTGTTCTGTGTGCAGGTGGTCCAGACAACCAGGTTCACTTTGAAGGATACCAGGTGTCCAATCAGTGCATGGCTCTGGTGCGAGACGAGTGCCTGCTGCCCTGCAAAGATGCTCCTGAGCTGGGCTACGCTAAAGAGTCGAGCCCCGAGCAGTACGTCCCCGACGTCTTCTTCAAGGTCAGAGTCTCGCATGTGGACACAAGTGTGGGACCACATGGAGCGGGGGTTTTAAAGTACAGACCGTGAAGGGCCCGGCGTACTCCATCTGAAGCCCAACAGTCGACTCGTGGCTGCGGGACGTTTATTTTCACGCACCTCTCATCGTCCACGTCAGTCTCCACTCCGTCCCTGCAGCCGGCGTCTCATCTAAGTTCAGCAGACGGACTCTGTGCACGTTATGTGCACGATGTGTGCACGTTGTGTGCATGATCTCCATCCAGAGGTTTTTGGACATTTGACTAATTTAGTGTTTGAAGAGTCGTACGGTTGAATGTCTGAGCGCATTGATAAACGCGCCCACACAACACTCGGCCTGCGAGGAAACGTTCGGCCCGGGCCTTGTGTCGAGAAGGGGCGGAGCTACCCTGAGAACAAAATGGCGTGATTTTCATCCCACAGCTCCGTCAGTGTGAGCCGGTTTCACAGCTTCAGATGGAGCACGCAGGGCCCTTGCATGTTTCTGTTGGTTAATTATGGATCGTCTCGTATTTCACGCTTCCTTTTTGAACCAACAGGACAAAGACAAGTTTGGAAACGACATCACGTTTCTTGCTCGGCCTCTTCCTGTAGAGTATCTCATCATAGATGTGAGTCAGACAGCTGTGCTGTTGCTGCGCTGTACATTTTGTTTTACATTTGTAGATAAATTCTCTTTATGTTCATACATTTGTTCAGATTACAACAACTTTTCCAAAGGACCCTCAGTACACCTTCACCTCCACACAACGCTTCCCCATCGAAAACCGGGACATCCTCGGAGAGACACAAGTAAGCACGTCACAGTTTACCTCTCAAATTTACATAAAAATAGACTTTTAGTATTTTACTTGAGCCTAAGTGTCATCCTACAGGACAGAAATGTTCGAGGAAGTCAAGTGTTTTTTTAATATATATTAGACTTTTCATCAAAGAGACTAAATATAATAATAAAGCTGCTTATTTGTCTTGAAACATTCTTCCTAGTTGAATTAAAATACTTCTTCTGGTAAAGTAACTTTAATGTGTTTTGCACAACAGAGTGAGACCCCGGCACATTTAACTGTTTCGTCTGATGGTCCGACGTGAGTTCAGGAAGGAACCACCTCTGATGGAAATCTGAACTCCTCTTTTCTTTTCAGGATTTCCACAGTTTAGCGACGTACCTGTCCCAGTGCTCCTCCACGTCATTCCTGGACATCGTGTCAGACTTCCACCTGCTCCTCTTCCTCGTCACCAACGAAGTCATGCCTCTGAGGGTGAGTTCACGCTTCGCAGCCGTCACTCCTCCCGTTCTCCAGTTGTTTGTGGGAGGAGAACCACATCTGTCTGGGCTTGTGTTTGCAGGACAGCATCGGCCTTCTGCTCGACGCCGTGAGGACCTCGAACGAGGATCTGGCCCAGACCTGGAAGAAGTCCGAGCAGTGGGCCACCATCGAGCAGCTTTGCAGTAAGTCACCTGGACTTGATCTCTGTCGGTTCAGCTTCTGTTTGGTTCAGCATTTTAAAGCTGAATGAACTGTTTTCCAACAATAAGTTTGTTTTTGTGGCTTCCCAGCAGCTGTGGAAAACCTGGAAAATGACTTTCACATTTTCCAGAGAGAGAAAACTCTGAGAATCTGCAGATTAAAATATGATCATTCTGAGATTCTGACGCGCTCATGTGATGATGCTCGGATCACTGAGTCCATGCTCGGCTTCTACAGCGTGCACAGAACATGGATCCTTGGTGCCTTTTTAGTGTCTGATGCGATCCTTCCTGTCATCTGTGAGCACAACTGCCCACCACCCAAGATACTCGGTCCTGAGCGTTCATGACTGAAACATCTCCAGGAATTTCCCGTTCTCATCATGTTCTGTCCGTCTCATGACCTCCACTGCTCCCGTAGCGTCACGGTAGAAACGGCAGAATGCAGAAACCGAGCACTGAAGTAATCACTTTACTTACTTTGCAGACGTGATTCAGGCTGGACACAAACCCTGAACTGTTGAGAGGTTTAATTGTTGGGTAGGAGATTGATTTTAATGTATAAATGTGTACTTTCTCATTGGGTCTCAGTTTAGGCTTCTGCTGTTTCTGTCAGTCACAGCTGGGAGCGTCAGTTCATCTTTATGCAGCTTTTGTTGGATTTAACAACACGCTCGATGAGCTTTGCACGTCTCTGTAAGAGATCTTTAAAGTAAAAAACAAACTCAAATCAAGGCGTCCATGTTGCTTTCAACAAACCTTTTATTTTACAGGAATTTCAGAAGTTTAATTAAATCTTTCTGCAGCTCAAAACGTTATTTCACATCATCTTTAACGCGGTTGGACAAATGTCACTTGTTCACCTTTTCAGCCTGTTTTTGACCATCTGCTTCATTTCTGCAGCGAAGCCATGATTCGTTTTCTCTTGTCATAAATGAACTGAAGCCTCAGTCCACTGGTCTCTTGGGACCACGTGAACTCTGTAAGGCCGAGATGCTTCTCCATTCCAGCTGATGACTCTTCCATCTTTCCCTCCCATCAGGTTAAGAGTAATCCTTGCTAGCACCCTCTCACCCGGTCAGCCCTCTTCCATCTACCAAGTATTCATCGTCTCCGTCCTTCCCTCACTCCTCAGTCTGGTCACCTCTCGTTTAGATTATTGTAATGCTCTTCTTTTTGGCCCACCACAGAAAACTCTCCATAAATTACAACTGGTCCAAAATTCAGCTGCCCGGATCATTATCACACGGACCCCATCAATCCAGCACATCACACCTGTTTTACAACAGCTTCATTGGTTTCCCATCCCATATCACATCAGCTACAAAATACTCCTCCTTACCTTCAAAGCTGTCCACCACCTCGCTCCTCCAGACCTTTCAGACCTTCTTCACATCGCTGCACCCGTTTGTACCTTCAGATCCTCTTCTTCTACTCAGCTCATTGTGCCCCTTGCCCGTCTTGTTTCTATGAGGAGCAGAACATTCAGCTGCTCTGGACTCACTCCCACCTGATATTCACAACAGACTCGTGGACACATTTCAAACTCAAAACTTGCCTGTTTAAAGTGTCTACTCACTGTGATTGCAACTGCACGGTCTTATTTTAACTTCGTTCTTATTTTTACTGTGTCTGTTTTTATGAATGACAGTGTAAGGTGACCTTGAGTGACAAGAAAGGTGCCTACAAATAAAATGTATTGTTATTATAGTTCTTATTAAATGTGGCGTGACGTCCTGTAATGTCCCTGCAGGCACCGTTGGCGGGCAGCCCTCCAGCTCTCTGGGTTACGGGGCCATGGGCGGCTCCTCGGTTCCCGCCTCCTCCTCAGCCATGTGGTCGTGCCTCCACTGCACCTTCATGAACCAGCCCGGCACGGAGCACTGTGAAATGTGCAGCCTGCCCCGCAGTTAAAGGCCTCCACCCACCCTGAGTCCACCCTCCCACCAGTTCCAGCTGCAGCGCCGGCCGGCCTCACTGTTTCATGTCATGGTTTGTTTCTGAACGCCCGGAAGGATGCGCTCCTACCCAAGCAAATCAAACCAGACTGATAATGTTTTGATGATTTTTCCATCCCTTCGCACAGCTGCTCCTGTGAGTGGTACCCCCCCCCCCCCCCCCCCCCCCAACAATTAAACCCTGCTGTGACTCAGGACGGCAGCAAAGACTCCATGTTTCCTCACATCAGTGCACCTCGCCCTCACAGTGACTTCTGGAAAACTTTGCTGTGTATAAATACCTTTTGAGGAATGATGCTGTTATTTAATTGAGTTTCTTTTTTATTATTATTATCATTATTATTATTATTATTATTATCAGATTGTAGCGTGTAACTTAAAAGCTTGGGCTCGGACTGTGCTCAGTCAGGTTTTCCTGGGTCTCGCGCTCCTCTAAACCCCTCTCCGTACAATCATCGGCCGGAGCGTCGGCCTCGCAACACGTAGCGCTTCAGAGGAAACCGGTTGTAGAGACTGGAGTTTGTATTTTCAGTGTTATATTGTCTCAGATTTGGAAACAGTGCATCTGTAGAAACATCCTGAAGATGTGATGGACTTCCTGTTCAGCTTCCTGAAGGGTTTTCACCAGATGGATGGCTTAAACCTGAGCCGGCACCATATGTAGCTGATTTTATCTCCTGCTGCTTCTCTCGTTTGAATGAGCTGTGAGGGGCTCGTCTCCCTCGCCTCCCCTCAGACCCCTCTCTTCTTTTTAGTTTCTGATTCTCACGCTGGTGCAAACGGGCCAGAACTAAACTCTGATGGACCGCTGTGGGTTTTATTTCCAGCTCTCAGCTTGCAAAGGCTTTGCTGCTCAAAGTTCAAGGGGTCGGAGGTCAGCTGTTAAAACTGCAGAACTACAGTACCTGAAATGTGAAGTATAAGTAAAGCAAACCCTCTTCTACAGCCGGCGTAAAACATGAAGCACGGAGGTATCGATGGTTGAGCTTAACCCGCTGAGATAAACCCAAATACCTGCGTTCTGAAAGTTCCTCTGCAGAGGTCTGGCATGAACGTCTTAAACCAGAACAAACAAAAACTGGAGTTGGTTTTTTCATATTTTGACCCTTTAGCGAGTTCTTTTGATTATTTTTACAATAAGATGAAAACTGGGACCAAAACACAAAATGAAAACGCCGTTCCTGTTTGCACACGATCGCCTGAACCAAAACGTGATGTCTGGACTCTGAAGCCATTTTCTCGTGACCGACGTGTGCGACCAGAAAACAAAGTGCCTCGAAAATTGGACCGCGTTAAAACAGTCACTTATCTCGACGCCCGATCCCTGAAGCATCCGGACCCGATCAGACCGACAGTTCTTAGTATTATAGTTTCACTTCCGTGTTGATCCAAACTGGTGGAGTTCATCAGAAGTCCGGAGTCATCGATGTTTGATCATTTAAGTTACGTTTGTAGCTCTAGATTGAAATCTGAATAAAGTTTGCTCTTTTTGCCCCGGTGTGTGGATTGATCCGAGTGATTCCTCTGATGTCACGCCAGCGGGCGGCAGCCATCTTTTTCTTCTTGTTTTGTATTGATCCGGGCTCGTTTGTTGAGCCGACTCGTTCTGGGACCGACAGCCGGTCCTCACTTTCCTCTGAGCTGACGGAGGACGTGAAAGATGTACGCTGTTGCCCTGAGTTTGAAATAAAACCATAAAACAAGGAACTGTCGGCGGGTTTTGTTTGGGTTTCTGCTCCGAGCAGGTTTGATTTTAATTTAGGACAAATTCTGATTAAAAACCGAGGCAGAAACTTGTTTTTAAGAAGATGATCTCAGACTTTGTGACCTTTAACCCCTGCCAGCAGCTAAAATCGCTCAGACTGGAAGGATTTTGAAAAAGACATTCAAACTTTTATGAAGTCTGGAGCTCGCTGTGGTCCGGACCTCATCAGTCAGCACCAGCTGCCGGGTCTGAAGTCTGAATCTGAGGGACATCTGGACCCTGATGGTTCTTCAGACTCCTAAAGGGATGTCCTGGTGGCTCGGGCCTGAAAGTCCCAGGTTCGATCCCCAATCATTGCACATCACGTGGTGTCTGAGCAGCACACCTTATCCCCCGATGCTCCCCAGGCGCCTTCAGTAGCCGCCCACTGCTCCACCTGGGGGAGATCCAATTTCACATGAGTATATTATTGTTATTATTTAAAGTGTCTTCTGTGGAAAAGTTCTGAACAGTAAAATGCAGCGTGAACGCCGAGCTATGAAATAGTTGAAAAATGAATCGAGTAAAACTAAATGCATTTAAAATGTTCATCTATTTTACATCAAGGCAGTGGTTTTGTGCATCACTAGCAGCTTTTTGTGACACTTCCTGTGCAGAACAGGACACTTCCTGCTGGAATAACTAAGGCAGCGCTGATGACAAAATAATTATTTTAAATGTCGTTTCTAAACTTTTCAGCTTTTGACTCAAAAGAACCGTCGCAAAAACTAGAAAGTTTTCACAAAGATTTAACGGCTGCATGTTTTCTTGTCTAATCACATCCCAAATAATTTTGGGAATCATTAGTTTAAACGAACAGTATTCATCTAAAATATAAAAACACTGGAAGTGGGTCCACTTGGACCATTTTCACCTAAAATCAGGTGATCACAACTTTATACCTTTCACACAGAACTCTGTGCAGAACGACAGGAATGTCCCTTTAAGCTGCTTAAACGTGCACATCTTCCAAATGTCTTTTTGTGGAGTTTTTAATTCATACATTTAGTTTTTGCCCACAGGAGAAGTCGTCGTGTCATTTCTTTATGCTTTTGTTCGAACGTGGGTCTAATTGGTCTCCAGCTCTGCAGATGGGCAGCAGATGAACAACAGGAATGTTCGAGACGTTTTGACCCCGAAACATCAAACATTTCCTCCGATGTTCCCTGAAGAACGGAGTTCGTTCTGCAGATGTTCTCTGTTTTCGTTCCACTCAAACGTTGGTTTTATCTCGCGCCCTTTAAACGAGCAGCTCGGGCAGATGGAGCCTGATTTTACAGAACGTTGAAGCTCGACGAGGCCTCTGGTCCAGATGCAAAGCAGATGTTTTTGTTCTGCACGCTGGATTCCTGACGGTCTCTTCAGAAGAGCCGATGCTTCTCTGAGCCTTCAGACTCGTGTGTTTCTGACAGGATGAGGATCTCAGGAGTTCTGCTCGTCTTCTCTGTGACTCTGTGTTCTGCTCAGAAACACAAGGCAGAGTGCGACCACAGGAGTGAAGGTAAGCTCTCGTCTTCTCGCAGGGTGCAGATTGCATCACTTATTGTCGCTTCAGCCTGCTCCCAAAATAAGTTTAAACACCTGGAGCGAGCTTTATCTTTTTGTGTGCAGTGTCCTTTGATCTTTGAGGAACACTCGGCAACAAAAATGTGACTTTAGCTGATTTCTCGTCTGACCTGCAGCAGAGAGGCTGGACGGAAGAGGATGTGCAAACCTCACGCTGGTGTTGGACAACTGGAAATACGCCATCATGACTCAGGTCAAAGATCTGCTGCTGCACGACCACAACACCGTGCTGCCCGACTACGGGAGGTGAGGACACCTGTCTGCACCCCCCAGTTCAGGAGCTTTTATACCAGAGCATTCAGAGGTCAAAGGTCAGAAACTGAGGGAAAAGAAGCCAAAGTCTGGATGCTAACTTTGATAGATCTTCAGAGGTAAAACGACTGATGAGGACCATTTTAACGGATTATAAGAAGTTTTGGCTGCTATGAAAAGAAACCAGAAGAATCTGTCCAGATGACTTTTAACTTTTTTATGAGATGACGGGTGGATTAAGATTTCTGCACAGTTTATTAAATGCCAAATCATATATTTTCACCGGTCTACATCAGAACCGGCCGATCCGTGCAGGAGGTGCATCATTTTTAGATGCAGGACACCAACAGCTCGTGACGTTTAAACCAAAGAGATAGAAAAGTTGTTCAAGTCAGTTTGAGGAACACGTTTAGTCCAAATCCTCAGGTCTGGTCTTTAGGTCCCTCACGCTGGAGAAAAGTAAAGAATCTGTTTCCCTCTGCAGGATCCAGCCGCTGTCGGACGCCCTGGGAGATCTCTACAAAGAGTTCAACGCCCTGAAGGCGCGTCTGGCTGAGCTCACGGCTCGGTTTCAAGACGTTGAGGCCTTCGTGGACGACGTGCGCCGGAAACCGGCCTCACCGAGAGGAGAACCACGACCCGAAGGCTCGCTGCCAGGAGAAGGACCTGCTGCACGGAGGAGCAGAGTCGTCGTCAGGAAAATCAAGAATCCCACCGACTCACAATGACCGAACGCAGCATCACGTTCTTTTTCGTGCTTTAAGCTTTTTGTTGGATAATGAGCTGAAGATGGAGTCTCACGTTTGATCAAGAAACGAGTCACTGGTGTTTTTAGACGGAGCTGGACAAGAATTAAACCTTTGTGTGTCAGAATCTGCAGGACAGTCAGGGCTGAGGTCATTTTTAGTTTCTTCACCGTTTTCTGATTTTTAAGATGGACTGAAGTTTATGAGCTCTGTATGTGATTATAATATTTTTATATACAGTACTTTATTTTGTTCTTTATTAGCCGCGAGGGAACGCCGTTACCACACAAATTAAATTCTGCTTCAAATGTTAAAAATGTTATTCAGGTCTTGTCAAAATGTGGTTATTCTCTAAAATTAACCATTTTTTTGTGATTTGATCAAACAAAACATTAGTACAAGAAGTAGGTTTGATTTTAAAAGTTTATATTTACTTTGAGATTAGATTAGATTAGATAGAACTTTATTGATCCCTTAGGAAGATCCCTTCTGAGAAATTTAAATTAATGCTGTAAAAACATAGTTTATAAGAAATAAGCTTAAACCTTTTTTTACTATTTGTTGATGAAGTTTCTTGATAATTAGAAGTTTAAACCTGCTCTGAACATGTTAGCTTCTTTTTTTAATCTGTAATTTGTATATTTTACTTTTTTATATTAAAATGTTTATTACAGAATGATATTCTAATCACTTTGTTATATTCTTTTGAATGTCCAGAGGACCAGATTTAACTTTTTTAGATTTTTCTACCTGGATTATTGAGCATGCATCAGGATATTTGTTATATTCTGTTTTTATTTTTTATGTTTAGTAAAGTCAAAACTTGAGGTGCAGGTATGCACTTAAAGTCAGTCGTAGTAAGACAGAGTCCATGTGTGTGAATGAGAGGGAGGAGGTGGAACAGTGAGGCTACAAGGAGCAGAGGTCACAAAGGTGCAGGACTTCAAGGACTCTGGGTCCACTGTCCAGGAACATGGGGAGTGAGGTGAAGAGGAGAAGAAGAGAGTCCAGGCAGGATGGAGTGATGGAGAAAAGTTTCAGGAGTGATTTGAGACAAAAGGGTGTCAGCAAAGGTCAAAGGAAAAGTTTACAAGACAGTGGTGAGACCAGCTATGTTGTATGGTCTGGAGACAGAGACATGGACAAAAAGACAGGAGACAGAACTGGAGGTGGCAGAAATGAAGATGTTCAGGTTCTTCTTAGGAGAGACAAGGATGGAGAAGATCAGGAATGAGATCATCCGAGGTACAGCACAGGTTGAACAACTGGGAGATAAAGTTAGAGAGGACACACTGAGATGGTTTGGACATGTCCAGAGGAGGGACAGTGGTTTGGACACGTCCAGAGGAGGGACAGTGGTTTGGACATGTCCAAATGAGAGACAGTGTGTTAGACATGCAGCTGTCAGGCCAAAGTCAAAGAGGAGATACTGTATATGGATACAGAGAGGACATGGAGGTAGTTGGCATGAGGACGGTGGACACAGGACCAAATGAGATGGAGGACTCGCTGTGGAGACCCCTGAAGAGGGAACAGCTGAAAGATGACGACATTGCATGTAAAACATCTAAAATATAAAAGTTGAATGAATTTGTAAACGTTAAAGATTTGACTAGAACTTCGATTTGGTAAATTCAGTTTTGGATTATCGAAAGTGAAAATTCCGAGGGGCTCCTGAATGCAGCTTAAGTTTCTTCTTCGACGGAACGAAAAAAAGAAACGAAACCGAATCCAGGCTTCAGGCTAGTTTAGGGACCGTCAAACAATTGCGTACAAGACACAAACAGAAAAATGTGTAAAACGCCTAAATATTTGTTAATTTTTCAAGATAAACCTGTTTATTTTATTTAAGTAAGAATGTTTGCTCAGCTAGAAAATGTCAAATAAATAAATAAGAGTAACACAAAAAGAAGATTGCCTGTCTGAGAATGGAGACAAATGCGGACGGTGCCTCACAGTCACTGCAGGCTGCTGACACAAGTGAGTAACATCACCACACAAATCCTACAATTATTCACTTTTAAATGCTCTAAACTTAACAAGTATTGTTGTACGTAACTAGAATCCTCAAGTAATTCGTGTTTATTGCTTCTCATCTGTAATATCCGCGTTTTAAATCTAAAAACTCGCTTAATTTATCTCGTTTAACGATTAGTTTTTTGTTTCTAACATCTAATGTTGCGTTAGAGTTGAAGAACAAACTGTTAACTCTGGTTGACCTCCACGTCGTTTTAGCTCAAATTTACGAATTTTCTCAGCTAATCTGATCTTGTTTTATTTTTGAGGATTTTTTTTGAAGCAATTAGTTTTTAATTTATGACTTTTTAAATGCGAAACAAAGAGTAAGAAGTATTGAACGCCTCACAGCCCATGTTTTAATACACATATAAGATTATTATGGTGTAAAAGCTTCATTCCCTCCCAGAGACTGTAACTCCATCTTGTCTTCAGACACAGGTTTCAGGGGGAGTTGGAGACAGATGGAGGGAAACCTCAACACAACTCCTGAATCACAAGCAAGATCCAGGGAAACCCAGGATGTTGCAACCAAAAGACCACGGAGGAGAAATGAGGTGATTAAACATTTTAATCTGGTGTTTCAGCTGCATTTGAGTTGTTGTGAAACTTTAACTGTGCTTCAGCAACAGGCTTCAGAAAATCCCAGCAGGAAGATTTATGAGAAGAAAAGGAGGAGAAGGAGAACCCGGAGGAGGAAGAAGAGCGTCTCGGAGGATGAGGTGGAGGAGACGAGCAGCCCCGCTCGGGGAGACTTGTCTTCAAACGAGCAGCGTCTCCGGCCTGAAGACCGCTCACAGAAAGAAGAATGTGTCCAACAACACCAGAAGGATGCAAAGATGGTGGAAGCTCAGACACAGACCAGAAAACACAACGGCAAAAACAAGTTCACTCAGACCCAAGTTGTTTTTCAGAAGAACCAGGAAACCCAGACGGACGTCCACGTGGCGACTCAGGGTGACACTCAGTCAGGCTCAGGGGGTCCTGCTGAGACTCGACACAAACCAGACACGCCTGGACCTCAAGTGCAAAACGCTGCTCGGACTCCGTTAAAGCTCAGTGAGCGTCCAGTCAAAGACGACGTGTCGTCACAGTCGAAACCTAAAGAGACCGGTCCGTCTTCAGGTGGGACCCGACCTGAAAAAGACGCCAAACCAGCGTCGTTTGCCGAAGTGGTGTCTGGAGACGGAGCAGGCGATAAACAGCGCGGGGTGGGAACATCCAGACCCGCTGATCAAACATCTCCAAACAGGCGGTAAGGCTGAAATAACACCTGCGTCAGAGTGTGAGGACGATCAGTAAGCACCGATCCTTTTGTGTCCACAGCGACCGAAGCCCCGTCAGGCCCCCACCCGCAGCGCCCAGGTTCACCCTCCACGTGTACGCAGTGCTGGACAGAAAGTTTCGATTCAACCACGATCACGACAAGCTTGTGCTGTTCCACGATGGAGGACGTTTACCTTTTGAAGTGACGTATTTTCAGTGAGTGTTCGTCACTTTCATACAGGTTGTAAATAAAAAACAAGTGCGGTTTTACAGCGAGTCATCACATTAACAACACATTACCAGGAGGGCCTCAATAAATACGTTCATTTATTCATAAAATCATGTGAATCTGCTAAATGTGCTCCTCACCCAGAGAAAATTCTAATTTCAGACTTCAGAACTGTCCGAAGCAAAATCACCAATCAGTTCAAACTTGTTGAACGAGCCCAGATTATGCTCATTTTGTGTCATTGCATAACTGTACTAATATAATCCATGTTAGGGACAGATTAGGTCTGCTCCTCAAAACAGGAATTACAGTTTCCTAAAGCAAAACCTCAGAATGAAAGTAGCAGAGCTGCTCCAACATGCAGCCACCTGGAGCGGTGCAGTTCTACAGTTAGAGTTAGAGTTAATTAAAGCTACTTCATTAAACTTAGTTAAAGTTAGAGTTAATTAAAGCTACTTCATTAAACTTAGTTAAAGTTAGAGTTAATTAAAGTTAGAGTTAATTAAAGCTACTTCATTAAACTTAGTTGAAGTTAGATCATTAAAGTTAATTACTTAAAGTTAGTGGATTAAAGTTAGATAATTAAAGTTATCCAAAAAAGTTCAATCTGGTCCTCTGGACATTCAAAAAAACAAAAGCAAAACAAAGCAAAAAAAATGTAGAAACGTTTCGTCTCTCATCCTGAGGACTTCATCAGTCTGAGGAGCTGTATTCAGCTCAGTCTCTTAAATAGCACCTTCTCAGAGTGGATCAACCAGAACCAGCTGATCACATGCTCAAGAAGGACCATCAGCCTAACAATGGATCATTAGCACCTGATGGCTGTTTACTGTTCACAGAGGGCTGAGTGATACTAGCAATCACAGCATTGTAAGAGGGGGACAGTTGAACCCGGAGGCTCCACCCCTGTTTAATGATGGACGGTTTATTTTCACAAAGATGGCCTCCTTTACTCCTCTCTCATACCATCGTTCCTCTCTGTCCAGGATGTGAACATCTTCATCCCTGAAAGAGTGACCTCTGGCCTGGAGATAGATATTTAAGAGACTGAGCTGAAAACAGCACCTCAGACTGAGGAAGTCTCTTGGATGAGAGACGAAACGTTTCTACATTTTTTTGCTTTGTTTTGCTTTTGTTTTTTTGGAATGTCCAGAGGACCAGATTGAACTTTTTTGGATTTCTCTACCTGGATTATTGAGCATGCATCAGGATGTTAATTAAAGTTACTTCATTAAACTTAGTTGAAGTTAGATCATTAAAGTTAGAATTAATTAAAGTTACTTCATTAAACTTAGTTGAAGTTAGTTCATTAAACTTAGTTGAAGTTAGATCATTAAAGTTAATTACTTAAAGTTAGTGGATTAAAGTTAGTTAATTAAAGTTACTTCATTAAACTTAGTTGAAGTTAGATCATTAAAGTTAGAATTAATTAAAGTTACTTCATTAAACTTAGTTGAAGTTACTTCATTAAACTTAGTTGAAGTTAGTTCATTAAAGTTAGAGTTAATTAAAGTTAATTAAAATTAGTTAATTCAAGTTAATTAAAGTTAATTAAATTTAGTTAAAATGAGTTACTTAAAGTTAGTTCATTAAAGTTAGTTGATTAAAGTTAGTTAATTAAAGTTAGTTACTTAAAGTT